ACCCGAGTGCTCGAGCCAAATCCGGGGTGTATAATGTTGGATGAATGGCAACTAGCCCGCGCCAGAGTTCGACACTTTCTTTGATCACCGTGAGCGCCCCGGGATGTCGTCCGAGGTTGTCGAGTGACACATTAAGATACCCAAGCGCTCGAGCCAACTCAGAGGTGAATGATGCTGGTTGGATGGCAACTAGCTTACGCCAGAGTCCAACACTTTCTTCGATCGCCGCAAGGGCCTCAGAACGCCACCCGAGTTTGTCAAGTGATGCTTGGAGATTTTGAAGTGCTTCAGCCAAATCTGGAGTGTAGGATTCCGATTCCACGGACACAAGGCAACGGCAGAGCGCAACAGAATCATTTGCCAATTCATATGCCTCCTGCAATCTTGAAAAGAATGCAAAATTCCCCCTCACATTGCCAAGGACTTTGACCAGCATGCGAATGACTTCTTTTGACGTCCGATCGACGCTCAACTGAAGGAACATGAAACTGAACAAGAGCCCAAAATGAACGCTACTAACGATCCGTACCTTGACCCATTCAGGGAACGATGATATGCTAATGTACCCTCCCGTCCTCACACAGACTTCAACCCAATGAGTTATTCGCTCATTGAGAAACGTGTGAACGGACCCATTGGGCGCCCCCAGCGGCTCCTGGGCTTGGTTGAGATGATGCACCAAATACCGACATGCGTAATGTACGTGTCCTGACAACACCCCTCGAGGAATGGACGGTATCCTAGCCTTTTGGGAGAAATCCCCAATCTGCCCTAAGTCCTTCACAGTGGAAAGATCCTTGTTCAATATTTCGATGCAGCGTAAGGCCACTCTGGCGTTCTCCCTTTTCGCATCCACTCTAAACCGATGAAGGGTGGGTGATTGTGAATCGATTCCCATTAGAAATCTACGAAAAGACTGATGCATAATGCGAATCGGCTTGCCAGGATCCCCAACTCCTGAGATGAGGGGTGCAAGTCCAGCCAAAGTATATCTGACAGACGAGTTCAGGAATGGTGACAAAATGGCATCCCAAGCCACAGCAGATAGTGGTTTCTGTGCGATTAGAATTGCTCCCATCACAATCGGGTAGTCGTACACGAAACCGTCGTTCTTCCAATCGCACTTCTCCAAAATGCTCGCATACAGCCTATCCATCATTTCCTCAGCAGAGGCCTTCGATCGGTTGACACCAGCATTGAGAAGTTTCTTGAGAATCCTCGCAGGATCACCGCCGGAGACTCTCAGGTAACGGAAGACGGTGCTGATCCAAACGAACAAGCCATCTGCCCGCTCCAGTATGCTTTGGACCAATTCACCCTCGTCACCAATTTGGTCTTCCAGACCAGGATGCACATCCTTCAGTTCGCGTAGTTGCAATTGGATGTAAACAGCACAATCATGCATGTTAGCATCGTCCGAAAGATCGATGGTGAGGCGAATGATAGGGTAATTGAGTGATAGATAACGGTCAACAACATCAAATTGCCTCGAAGTGACGAAAAATTTGATGTTGGGCGGTAGTTTTGGCACTTCCTTCCGGAGTATATCGGCAAGACATGGGAGAGCTTCCGTGTCGCATTCATCTAACGCATCGATAACGATCACCATAGGACGGCCAGACGGCGATGTTGTGAGAAGGAGAGGTTCAGCCACTAGTTTCTGGAATTGCTTTGCAAACGGGGCAGTCGAGAGAGCTGGGTTCTCCTGAAGAGTCGATATGAGGGAGGTGCGGTATGCTGGGTCGTGGGTTGCTAGAGATCGAGCCATGCCACTGAATAGACGATCTGGCCACGACTGCTCGCCCGCTTTGAAAAAGAAGCCTAACGACAATATCCTTTCTCTTTCACATTTCTCTGCAATTGAGAGCGCAATAGATGTCTTGCCGGCACCGGCCACGCCGCTCAGCAGAAATACACGATTCTCACTATCGTCCGTGTTACGGCACCAGGCCATAATACGCTGAATCCAATTGGTCCTAGTGCCTTTCAGGCACGCCTGAGCTGAATCGTGATGGGCGGTAATGGGATATTTAAGCTCATTCAGCACTGAAGAGTCCTCCACTCCACGAGTTAACCGATCTAGATTATTTGCTATTGCGCCAACTGTCAAATCTGTCCGCAGCTATGTGATTGCGATGATGACATCAGAGCAGAAACATAACCGACGAGGATCAAAATTACCCCGAACAACGCCAAGGCCCCGCTAAAATCTTTCTTTAAATCATCAATCCTGCTGCGATTCCTTATATGAGAGAAGAAGTTGCGGATACGAGACCGTCTTTCCATCGTCAATCCATCGATTTCGATTTGAATGCGCTGCAACGCCCTACAAAGTACGTTATGCGACGGCGATTGCTTGCATGAAGCAGATACTACTTACTCGCTCAGCTCCGTGACGCTTTTCATCCACGGCTTAACCCCATCATTAAACGCATCATACGAATCGATGGATGCTATCACATGGACCATGGCGTCTGCGATACACTTTCCAAAACGCTCCCATTCTTCCTTATCTCCCTTGAACTTCTACACAATGCAAATTGTCAACTTCCGTTCCAGGTGCGGTATAAATTGTTACTAACTTTGATTTCAGTGAGAATGAAGAGTGCGGCATTGGTGGCAGCCTGTAGGGGAGGGAACACGCCCGAGGCAGTATTGACAACGGTGAGGACTGGAATTGCAACATCGCCCCCCATGGCGAGGATGTTATTGACCCTCAGCTTCAGCGACATGCTCAATATGGGTGGATGGAAGGATGGGGAGAAAAGGTCGGTCGCGCAGCGGGTGGTCACACTCAAGTAGCGGCTGCGCAGTTCACAGCCATGAGATCGCCGCAATTCATCCCATTGCGCGTGGAAAGTCTTGCGGCAGATTCCATCCTCTATGCAGAACCAACTGAGAAACCGATCCTGGCTGCTTACACCCAGTTCTGCTCTAGGTTCGCTACGGGAGATTCGACGCAAAGTTCGGCAACAGGAGCGAACATTCTCCAATCTTGCAGGAAGGCCAGCCCCAAGCGCACATGGACTACTGCAGGTTCGCAAAAATGTATGGTGATGCGCCCCGGAAGCAACAAGAAGATAGTGAATGGGAGGATTTGGCACTGCCAACGACCCTGCCGTCACTGTGACCCAGATGAATCAAGTAGGCCTGACACATGCGGGCGAATTTGAATGCTTATTCTCAGATCAGAACTCTTAAGTGTGGATCTTGAGTAAGTCGGTTGTACATAAAACACCTGAATTTGAACACCACTCGAGGTCGAACCTCGCTGCCGAGAATTTTGTCCATGGGCTCACCACGGAACGATGATAACAGTACGGTAAGACGACCCCTATACAGGCAGCAAACCAATCCCTACAGCGATGATGGGCCTTTCGTCCGAACATGTGGGTTAGAATGGGAGGGAATGGGTAACACACCCGGCTGCACATTACTTACCTCAATACTCCGGATTCCCAGCGATCCACCTCGGTGAAACCCGTTGAAGCCCCATTGATCCCAATCACCACGGCTCAAAATAACTCCTGCATATGTTGGGTCTATTACACCGCTAGTTATAATGACAATCTTCGACGTGCAATTGTAGAACATTCGAATACTCCTTGGTAATGGCTTGCATTCCAAAGAAAAGTTTTCTGTCCGCTCCTGTATTGCGCATGTCCGGTAACATGCAGATGTGGGCCGCAGGCGACACAATTTCTCAAAGGTTCATTATACTCGAATTACCCCTAAATTAGCAGCCATGCTGCGCCTTAGATCAAATGATAGGCTCTGGGTGGCGATCATGAATCAGAGACTGAATGGCTTACAGGAGTAGCATGTCAGAACTTACGCCTGCATTCTCGGACGTAGTTCTGGAAAATCGTGATGGTAGACTGAAAGCGCCATCGATCCCATCGAACTTGACAAACTTAACCGGCTTCGCAGTCCGGCTTTGGAGTCGATATGTCGCGACTCGGATAATTACATCACGTTGAAGCTACACGACAAAGGCGAGACTTCTACTCTGTGTGTGTGTTCTGCGGAATAAGTAGATAAAGAAATAACGAAAAATCAGTCCCCTTCGTCCCAGACACTCCCTTGACATGTCCCGCTTCATCGATATTCCGTGCTCACGGCCTCTGGATCGATCTTTGTATCCAATTTTTAACATTCGGACGTCGCCTGGACATATATGCACACAGGCAAAGCCTTCTCAGGGCAATACCGTTCCTGCAAATACTCAGTTGGCTGAGTGAGACTAGGGTCCCTGTTCTTACGCAGTACAAGAACGGATGTGACAATGAGGTGTGCGTGAAGCTGATGAGATTGAGAATGGCAAGACTGCTGCCACCGATAGACCTCGTGTTAACCTCACACCACGACTAGCGACTAGGCCATCCGTTTATCCTGTCTGAACCTGCCGCCCTAACATTCCTTGGCGAGGCAGAATTACCTGTTGCGTCCAATGTGATGAGTGATTGCGGATTCTCTGGTTGATCAAGTATGTTTCTGCACATTGCGAGGAAGAGGCGGTGAGGATATGACATGGTGAAGCGAAGTTCAATCTCGTGGGTTTGTGTTTGAGCTTGGGGAAGATTGTGAATATGCTTCGTGATTTATATGACGCACTGGACGCTTGCGTAGGATTGATGCCAACAATTGTTGCATGAGTGCTACACATGCTCGCATCTTGTGTCTTCAGCGATGCAGGAATGTGATAATCAAGACTCATCCGCATAAGCAATAATAGCATGATGACGACTACGTCCGCACAGCGCCCAAAGCATGAAAACGGACTGAGTGGACTGAGTCTGCAGTCTCAAGGCTACATCAAACACACACGATAGTGGGTGAGCAGCAGATAGCAAATGACTAATAGAAATAGATTGAAACACAGGGGCGTGGCATGGTAGCGCCTCGTCATGGGCTGGCGAGGCCAAGGAGTGATTGTGTCAAACCCAGAGTAGACGATATCGGATGAATGACAGAGCCTTTCATCATTTACAAGGGGCGCCTCAGAATGGCGTCCGAGATTGTTGAGCGATACCCGAAGATGCTGGAGCGCTCGAGCCAAATCCGGGGTGTATGATGTATGTAGGATAGACAGCAACTAGCTCGCACCAGAGTTTGACACTTTCTTCGTTCATGAGGAGCACCTCAGAATGTCGTCCAAGGTTGGTGAGTGATACATCTAGACTCTCGAGTGCCCGAGCCAAATCTGGGGCGTATGATGTCGGATAAATGACACTAGCTCACGCCAGAGTCTGACACTTCCTTCGAGCGCCTCGGAATGCCGTCCGAGATTGTGGAGTGATACAAAGAGAAACCCGAGCGCTCGAATCAAATCTAGGGTGCAAAATGTCGGATGGGTGGCAACGGGTTCGCGCCAGAGTCTCACTTTCTTCGATCATCACGAGCGCTTCAGAATGCCATCTGAGTTTGTCAAGTCCCAGTGATGCAAAAAGGTTCCTGCGCGCTCGAGCCAAACTTAGGGATTACTGTGTCGGATGGACGGCAACTAGCTCATGCCAGAGCTTGACACTTTCTTCAATCCCTGCAAGCGCCTCGGAACGTTGTCCGAGTTTTTCAAGTGACGCGAAAAGATTCCCCAGTGCTTGAGCCAATCCGGGGTGAGTGAGATAGGATAGAGATCAACTAGCTTGCACCAGAGTTTGACAATTCGCTGAGAGCGCCCCGGAATGCCGCCCGAGACTGTTGAGTGATACCAGAAGAGACCCAAGCGCCCGAGCCAAATTGGGGTGTAGACATTGGGTCCCCAGACGTAAGGTGACGGCACAACGCAACCGAACCATTTGCCAACTCATACGCCTCCTGCAGTCTCGGAAAGGATCTAAGATCTTCGCTCACGTTGCTAAACACTTCGGCCAACATGCGAATGACATCTTTGGAGGTCCGATCAACGCTCAACTGAAGGAACATGAAATAAAATCTAAAAATGAACGCTACTGATGAGTCGTACCTTGGCCCATTCAGGGAACAATGATATGCTGACGTACCCTTCCGCCCTCACACAGATTTCTACCTAGTGCACTATTTGCACATTGAGAAATATATCAACAGGCCTATCGGGGCCTCCAGTGGCATCTGAACTTGGTTGAGATGATAGACAAGATGGCGATATACATAATGAACGTGTTGGGGCAGCGCCTCGTGAGGAATGGGTGACAGTTTGAAGTGTGGGAAGAAGCCCTCAGTCAGTCCTAAATCCCATCGTGAAAGGATCTTCATTCAAAATTTCGATGCAGCGCAGAGTCACTCTGGTGTTCTCCCTCCGAGCATCCACTACAAACTGATGAAGGGGTGGGTGATTTGTGGTTCAATTCGGTCCATGAGAAAGTCGGGAAAAAATGGATGCACAATACGAATCAGTTTGTCTAACCGGTGCAAGTTTGGCCAACGTACACCGGATGGACGATTCTAGGAGCGGAGACAGATGACATCCCATGCCACAACACATAGTGGCCTTTGTGGGATTAGGATTGCGCCTATCACAATCGGGTAGACATGCACAAAATCGTTGTACTCCCAATTGCACTTCTCTAAGATGGTCGTATATAGCGCATCCATCATTTTTTTCAGCGGAGACCTTCGATCGGTCGATGCTGGGATTGAGAAGGTCCTTTGGCGCTCTCGCAGGATCACCGCTGGCAACTTTCACGTAGCGAAAGACGGTACTGATCCAAATGAACAAGTCACCTGCCCGCTCCAATATGCTTTGGACTGATGTAAACAGCGTAGCCATGGTCATTAGCGTCATCTGAAAGATCGATAGTGAGGCGATCAATAGGGTAACTAGGTGATAGAAAACGGTCAACGAGGACGAACTGTCTCAAAGTGACAAAGAAGCTTGATGTTAGGCAGTAATCTTGGCACTTTTTTTCGAAGTATATTGGCAACACGCGGGAAAGCTTCTGTGTCGCATTCATCTAACACATCGATGATGACCACCATAAGCAGACGGTAGTATCGCGAGACGGAGAGGTCCAGCCAGGGAATTGCTTCGCGAACGGGGCCGGCGAGAGCTGGATTCTTCTGAAAAGTCGCTATGCAGCATGCTGAGTCGTGCGTTGCTAGAGATAGAGCCGTGCTGCTAAACAGACGATCCGGCCACGACTGCTTACCCGCCCTGAAAACGATTTCTTTCGCACTCTGCAATTGAGAGCGCAATATATGTCTTGTCGACGCCGGCCACGGCGCTCTGCAGTGATACGCAATTCTCGCTATCCCCCGTGTTACGACACCTGGCCATAATATACTCGATCCGACCGGTCCTAGTGCCTTTCAGACATGCCTGAGATGGGTGACAATGGGATACCTGGGTCCATTGGGAACAGAAGAATTCACGACTCCACGAATTAACCGATTTTGATTGTTTGCTATTGCAAACTTGTCCGCAGCTACATGGTTACGATAATGAGATCAGAGCAGCAACATGACCGACGAGGATCAAACACAATTACCTTGAAGAATGTCGAGGCCGCGCTAAAATCTTCCCTTGAATCATCGATCCTGCTGGGGTTCTTCGTGTGGGGGAGGGGGTTGCAGGTGCCTGACTGTCTTTCCATCTTTCCGCGCAATCGATCGATTTCGATTTGAATACATTGCCGCGCGTCACAGAGTACCGATGTTATGCGACAGCAATGGCTTGCATAAGAGCAGATACTACTTACTCGCTTAGCTTCGTGACACTTTCCATCCACGGCTTAACCTCTTCGTTAGACGCATCGTACAAATCGATGACTGCAACCACATTGTCTGCGATATATTTCCCAAAACTCTCCCATTTCCCCTGAACATCTACATAATGCATATTGTTAACTTCCGCTCCTGGCTCGGTATAAATTATTACTAACTTTCATCTCGCTGAGGATCAGGTGTGTGGCACCAGTGGGAGATCGTAAAGGAGGGAACAACCCCAATGCAGCATTGACAGCGGCGAGAACTGGAAATGCAACATCACCTCCCGCGGCTAGGAGACCAATGACAAGCAGAAGGAAGGATGAAGTGGAAAGGTCTGATGCGCAACGGATGATAATACTCGAGTGGACACTGCGCAAGTTCACGGCGAGTGCAATTCATCCCTTTGGAAGTCCTGTGGCAGATTCCATCCTCTCACGCAGAATCAACTGACATGGTTCGCAGCTACTTATGCTGACTCTCTAAGTACCCTAGGGCTTGCTGCGTGAGATTTGGTGTGAAGTTTGCAACAGGAACATACATACTTCGATCTCGTAGGAAGCTGGGCCGTACCAGCACTAGGTGTATGTGGACTGTCGCGTGGTTGCAAAGCGAGTGGTGATGCACAATAGGCAGTAACAAGGCAGGATCCGAGAGGATGGCGGAATGGGGGGATTTGGCATTGCCGCTGAGGCTAATGACCTCGTGGTGTCACTGGATCCCAACAAAGCAGATAAGGGGGAAGATGGCGCTCTAACGCTGGCTGACAAATTTGTATGCTTAATTCCGCTCCACTTAGGTGTTGGGCCTCGAGTAAGTCAGTTGTAAATATTGTTTTGAATTTGAATTGAATCAGGACATACCTCCACCCCAGAGACTGGCGTATTCAAATGTCCCTGCCCAAAATTTTGTCTATAGGCTCACCATGGAAGGACAATGTTGAAATAGATCGACTGCGGCAAGATCAATTTTAACCACACCTCGCGCGCCCAAGTTGGGTTCGTGCTTACCGCAGAAGGACAGCATCAGATGAGGGAAAACAGCAAGATGATTTCTAAAGAATGGTTCCTCACCAAATTGATCGCACAGATGAAAGCGGACCCCGTGTCTTTTGCTGCGCAAGCCGCTTTGTAGGTGATAGAGGGAGAAGCGTGAGAAAGGGACTTGGGAGGTAATGGTCATCATAGATATGTCTGGCAAGGGACAGATGTGGAAGAAGGGAGGATCGATATTGTGGCCTCCTCCTTGGGGCATTATTTCTTACTCGAAGAGTGATCGGCTGATCAACCGATCAAGGTCGAATTCCCGCACTCACTTGTCAAACAGTCCGCCCTTCTGCGTCCTGGAGTCAGAAAGGAATGGAGTCGGAAGTCACTGATTAGTATCACATCCTCGGGACGATGCTATTACATAAGGAAGAAAATGCCAAGCTTGCCGAGTTGTTGACTTCCGGATTCGGGAATCGGCGGTGCGCTCTCCAGATCGGTGCTCATTAGAAACTGCACCGCACCCTTCATTACTTGTAAACCTTGCAAAAGTAACATAAGAATCAACTCATATATTCCAAATCGACCCCGGACAGGTTCCTTGATAATGAGTCCTGATAAGCGTCTCGCTCAGGCTGATAATTATCAGACTCCCGAGTCATCTCTCACACTAATGATCGGTCAAGGCAGCTCCACAATTAAAACTTTCATATAGCCGCAATCCTTCCGTGCGCAGCCCACGTACTGGACGGTTTTTGGCTCCAGCCATCCACTGGCTGAGACCGCGTGTATTCCCACAAAGTTGAGTGCATGTCGACACTGCATTGAATTCCAGCTGCAGCCACAAGGAAACCCTTGTGCATCAAGGCCAGTGAACCGAATTCATGGTCGGAATGAGTAGCAACAGGCAGTTCTCCAAGCTTTTCGTTTCTTCCAATGATTTACCTTTAGGATCGCGAGAACCAACGGCCTCCCTAGCTCTGAGCCAGCTCCGCCCTTCTTATGCCCTTCCTCCATGCCAGGACGTCCCTTTTCCTTCCCAAACATGCGTTCATGACTCCGATGAAATCCTGGATGGCCGTTCGTGGATGAAGTAGTTCCGGAAAATGTGCAATCTCGCCTGGACTTTTGGTTGATGAACTGATGTTTGCTTAACCCGCTTAGTATGGCCAACGATGACATCACATTGAGGTCGCACAAGGCGAGCCTTGCCCCGCAAATTTCACATGGCCTCTGGACCGATGCCTGTGTCCAATCTTTAACTGTGGAGACGCCACGTGGACACATATGCAGACATGCGCAGCGGTTGAGTGAGGTTAGAGTCCCCTGTTCTCACAGCGGAAGGTAATTACAAGAATATATGTGGCATAAGACGTGCATGGAGATCAAGTCCTAAGTCCTACATAATTAATACAGATATGGAGTATGAAGTGGACAAGAATGGTAGCAATATGGGCTCCTGCCACAATGCCCCACGTCACGACTAGGCAATGGAGCAATGGAATTCTCTGTACATACTTGTTGACCCTGACAATATTCTCTTTCGCGGCAGGACAAGTGCTTGCCAACTTGGCCCTCCCAATTCCGCTCCACGCAGTGAATGATTGTTGGCTTTCTGGTCGATCAAGTATGTTTCTGTATGTCTCGGGGAGGAGTAATGGGGATATAACGATGGTGAAGGCAGAGTTCAGCCTTGTGGACCAGTATTCAAGCTGGGTGATTGTCCCGGACACGCCGCATGATATACATATCGCTCCGGAGGCTTACATGGGGTTGACGACATGCTCGCTTCTTGCGTCTTCCAAGACATGTACGGATGTGGTGCATGGGCAACACAGAAATATGGTAGTTAAGACCTATGTGCATAAGCATCAGAGGATTGGGAGTGAAGCTAGTGATAGTATAATAATATTGGCTCCTGACCCGCGGCCCCACGCATAAAAACAGGCGGAGTCTGCATTACCAAGGCTACGCCAAAAACACACAATGGTGGGTGAGTAACATGCCGTGAACAATAAATAGCAATAGAATCTTCAACGAAAGTTAGGGCCTTGGCATTCGTGGTGGCTTTTGCATGAGTTGGTGAAGCTGCAGAATGATTGTGTCGAATCCGGAGTGGATGATATCAGATAAGTGACAACTACTGGTGTAGGAGTCTGAGCCTTTCTTCATTTACGAGGAGTGCTTCAGAACGGTGTCCGAGATTGTTAAGAGATATTACAAGATTCCCGAGCGCTCGAGCCAAATCCGGGGTGTATGATGCCGGATGGGTGGCAACTAGCTCGCGCCAGAGCTTCACGCTTTCTTCATTCACGAGGAGTGCCTCAGAATGTCGTCCAAGGTTGGTGAGCGATACATCTAGATTCCCAAGCGCTCCAGCCAAATCCGGGGTGTATGATGTTGGATGGGTGGCCACTAGCTCGCGCCAGAGTTGCACACTTTCTTCGATCACTGTGAGTGCCTCAGAATGGCGTCCAACTTTGTCAAGTGATACTTGAAGATTCCGGAGTGCTCGAGCCAAATCTGGGGTGTATGATGTTGGATGGGTGGCAACTAGCTCACGCCAGAGTTGCACACTTTCTTCGATCACCGTGAGTGCCTCGGAATGGCGTCCAACTTCGTCGAGTGATACTTTAAGATTCCGGAGTGCTCGAGCTAAATCTTGGGTGTATGATGTTGGATGGGTGGCAACTAGCTCGCGCCAGAGCTTCACGCTTTCTTCATTCACAAGGAGTGCCTCAGAATGTCGTCCGAGGTTGGCGAGCGATGCATCTAGATTCCCAAGCGCTCCAGCCAAATCCGGGGTGTATGATGTTGGATGGGTGGCAACTAGCTCGCGCCAGAGTTGCACACTTTCTTCGATCACTGTGAACGCTTCGGAATGGCGTCCAACTTTGTCGAGTGATACTTGAAGATTCGGGAGCGCTCCAGCCAAATCCGGGGTGTATGATGTTGGATGGGTGGCAACTAGCTCACGCCAGAGTTGCACACTTTCTTCGATCACCATGAGTGCCTCGGAATGGCGTCCAACGTTGTCAAGTGATGCTTTAAGATTCTGGAGCGCTCCAGCCAAATCCGGGGTGTATGATGTTGGATGGGTGGCAACTAGCTCGCGCCAGAGTTGCACACTTTCTTTGATCACTGTGAGTGCCTCGGAATGGCGTCCAACTTTGTTGAGTGATACAGTAAGATTCGGGAGCGCTCCAGCCAAATTTGGGGTGTATGATGTTGGATGGGTGGCAACTAGCTCGCGCCAGAGTTGCACACTTTCTTCGATCACCATGAGTGCTTCGGAATGGCGTCCAACGTTGTTAAGTGATGCTTTAAGATTCTGGAGCGCTCCAGCCAAATCCGGGGTGTATGATGTTGGATGGGTGACAACTAGCTTGCGCCAGAGCTTCACACTTTCTTCATTCACAAGGAGTGCCTCAGAATGTCGTCCAAGGTTGGTGAGTGATTCATCTAGATCCCCAAGTGCTCGAGCCAGATCCGGGGTGTAGGACTCTGAGTCCGTAGACACAAGGCAATGGCACAGTGCAACTGAATCACTTGCCAACTCATATGCCTCCTGCAATCTTAAAAAGAACGCAAGATTTTTCCTCATATTGAGAAATACTTTGACCAACTCGTGATTGACTTCTTTGGAGACCCAATCAACGTTCAACTGAATGGAACATGAGACTGAACAAGAGCCTCAAATGATCGCTACTGATGATTCGTACCTTGGCCCATTCAGGGAATGATGATATACTAATGTACCCTTCCGTCCTCACACAGACTTCCACCCAGCACGATATCTGCTCATTGAGAAATATGTGAATCGGCCCATTGGGTGCCTCCAGTGGCTCCTGAAATTGGCTGAGATGATGCACGAAATGCCGACATGCATAATGGACATGTTCGGACAGCGCCTCTTGAGGAATGGGTGGCAGCTTGGTTTTTTCGGATAAGTCTTTGATTAGCCCTAAACCCTTCATAGTCGAAAGTTCTTTATTCAAGATTTCGATGCAGCGCAAAGCCACTCTGTCGTTCTCCCTCCTCGTATCCACTCCAAGCCGACCAATTATGGCTGGTTGTGGATCGACTCGCCCCGTCAGAAAGTCACGAAAAGACTGGTGCAGAATGCGAATTGGCGTGTCAGGATTGCTTACTCCTGAGAGGAGAGGTGCAAGTTGAGCTAATGTATATTGGATGTTCGACTTCAGCAGTGGTTTGAGAATGGCCTCCCACGCTGTAACAGATAGCGGCTTCTGTCCGATTAGAATTGCTCCCATCACAATCGGGGAGTCATGCAAGAAATCATTCGTCCAGTTACACTTCTCCAGAATACTCGCATACAGCCTATCCATCTTTTCCTCGGCAGATGCCTTTGATCGGCTGGGATTATCATCGAGCAATTCCTTTAGCATCTTCGCGGCATCTCCACCGGTGATCTTCATGTAGCCAAACACAGTACTGATCCAAATGAACAAGCCACCTGCTCGCTCTAATATGCATTGGACCAAGTCATCCTCCTCTCCTATTCCGACTTTCAAATCATCATGCACAGCCTTCAGTTCACGCAGTTGCGATCGGATGTAGGCAGCACAGTCATGGATGTTAGTATTGTCCGAAAGACTGATGGTAAGGGGGTCATTGAGTGATAGAAAACGGTCAACAAGGTCGAATTGCCTGGAAGTGACAAAGAATTTGATGTTGGGCGGTAGTTTTAGAACTTCTTCTCGAAGTATGTTGGCAAGAAGTGGGAATGCCTCTGTGTTGCACTCATCTAATGCATCAATGATGATCACCATAGGACGATCAGACGATGTCCTGAGACGGAGAGGTTCAGCCACTAGTTTCTCAAATTGTTTTGCGAATGGGGCAGTCGAGAGGGCTGGGTCCCCCTGAAGAGTCGATATGAGGGAGGCACGGTATGCAGCATCATGGGTTGCCAGAGATCGAGCCATGCCGCTGAACAGATGGTCCGGCCACGACTGCTCGCCTGCTTTGAAAAAGAAGCTTGACGATGATATCTTTTCTCGTTTACACTCCTCTGCGACTGAGAGCGCAACGGATGTCTTTCCGGCGCCGGCCACGGCCTTTAGCAGTAATACACGATTCTTGCTATCCTCCGTGGTACGACACCACGTCATAATACGCTCGATCAGATCAATCCTGGTGCCTGGCAGGCACGGCTGAGTTGAATCGTGATGGGGGACAATGGGATATTTAAGTTCATTCAGAACTTGATTTGCATTAATCATCAAGGTTGTCTGCAGCTACGATAATGAGATCAGAATGGAAACATAGCCGGGGATTAACGGAACTACCTGGAACATTGCCAAGGCTTCACCAAAATCTTTCTTTAAATCATCGAGCTTACTGGGATTCTTCAAATGGGAGAAGAACTTATGGATACCAGACCGTTCTTCACCCACTCGACGGACTTCAGTCTGAATGCGCTCCAGTGCCCTATAGAGTACTTACGTTATACAACCGTAGTAGCTTGCATAGAGCAGATACTACTTACTTGCCCAGCTTGTTGACGCTTTCAACCCACGAGTTCGGCTTTTGATTGGATTCATCATACGGATCCTCGACGGCTGTAACCACATGGACCATAGCGTCCCCGATATATTCTCCAAAACGCTCCCATTCTTCCCTTTTTCCCCTGAACTCCTACCCAATGCAAATTGTTAACTTCCGTTCCAGGATCGGCATGAATTGTTACTAACTTTGATTTCAGTGAGGATGAAAAGTGCGGCATTGGTGGCAGCCTGTAGGGGGGGGAACAGACCCGAGACAGTATTGACGATGGTGAGAACAGGAATTGCAACATCGCCTCCCTCGGCGAGGAGATGATTGACCCTCTGCTTCAGCGGCATGGTCAATAATGAGTGGATGGAACGATGGGGAGAAAAGGTCGGTCGCGCAGCGGGTGGTGACACTCAAGCAGAGGCTGCGGAGTTCACAGCCATGAGATCGCCGCGCGCAATTCATCCCATTGCGCACTTCAAATGGAAAGTCTTGCGGCAGATTCCATCCTCTAATGCAAAACCAACTGAGAAATCGATCCTAGCTGCTTACTTCCATCTATCTTGGTCCTGTTCTAGGTTCGCTACGGGAGGCTACGGGAGATTCGATGCAAAGTTCGGCAACAGGAACGAACATTCCAGGAAGGCCAGCGCCAGGTGCACATGGGTTGTTGCATATTTGCAAAATGTATGGTGATGTGCCCCGCAAGTAACAAGAAGATAGCGGAATGGGAGGATTTAGCATTATCACCGCAAGTAAGGACCTTACCGAGTCACTGTGACCCGGGCGAAGTAAGTGGTACGTTTAACAATGGTGCCCTGACACAAATTTGATTAATGCTTGTTCTCCGATAAGTGTGGACCTCGAGTGACATAAAACACCTGAATTTGAACACACCTCCAGAGGCCGAACCATTGGGTTCACCACGGAATGACGATGACAGTACGGTAAGACGACCCCTATACAGGCAGCAAACCGATGACGGGCCCTTCGCCCTACATGTGGGTCAGAATAGGAGGGATTGGGTAGCTGCACATTACTTACCTCATTGCTCCGGATTCCCGGTGATCCAGCTCGGTGAAACCCGTCAAAGCCCCCCCCTTATCGAAAATGATCTACTATATATAAAGAGCGCGGACATGCTCCACGAATCGCAAACGCCGATTGGTTGGAGCGAGGTCTCACACACTCTCATTGGATGAAGGCGCTTACTTCAGCTCCCATTTGGGATGCACTCGCTTAGCTCATCGCCCCTTTAGGGCTCTTCCTCACCCATTTTGGTTCTGCTTGCTTAGATCATCACCGATTTGGGATCCGGTCGCTTAAGTCATCGCCCGTTTGGGGCCAGCCAGCTAGCTTATCTCATCTCCGGTTGTGTTTGAGTTTCCTGACCGGCCCACATGCGTCATCTATCTCATCGATGCAATGATGCGACTATCGATCCTGATTGACGACGACAAGCCCAGCATGGCTAATGTTGTACACTCTGCACTGCTACCTTGAGTCTAACATGGCGAACACACTCCACATCCGTTTGTAAACCGTGCCCATTCTTCCTAACGTTGTACGCTCCCGGAGTACTGCACAATTCAAAGGTTTCACGGAGTGTGAAACATGATGATAAAAGAAACCCCATGTACCCACCTTTTTACGACTGTCTGAGTCGTCGTTGAGGGGCGAGATTTTCATCTGATGTGAGGTCATGTCAAGCCCTGAAAGTGCGCTCTAAAGCCATGGAATGATATAGGTATATACCACGGATGCGAGACAAGTGAACACAACCGGAATGACGCTGGGTGCCCGGCTAGCCAATGAGAGAGCAAGAACGTGTTTCAATGCACTGTTGAGACTCTGTACATTGAACGATTCCAGGGGGTTGTGTCGTCGCAATCATTGGATAAGTGTGTCGACCAAGGTATAACCTGGTCGTTAGGTGACGTGTCAAATGAAAGAAAACAAAGTCAAAGTGTCAATGAGCACGGGTGTCACTAATCCAATAGTAGTTGGATGGAAGGTAAAAAACTTGGCCGCATTCATCGTGAACAAATCGATATCAAAACATACCACTTAGCCGAAAGAAAGCCGATCTGTTCTGAACACGCACAGGAGACTCTCCAACACCGATGAAAGTCAATCGAATTCCATCTCGGATCCGTCACAACTCGAGGTCAAGGCTAAAACCTTAAGGAGCGAGGCTTCAGCCAATCAGAGAGCGAGAAAACGGTGGTCCAGCTGAAAAAAAGAACACAGCCGTAGGTTCGCCTGATCTTGTATTATGTAATTAGTCCTGGTGGTCTCGATCTCGTCATCATGATCGTATGCAACAAGCCGAATCTCTCACTTTACAAATACAGAACAATCATCGTAGTCTAACCTCCGACGAATCTGGCACATCACTGGTTGTATGACATGTTACGTCAATATCTATCATCCTTGAAGCTTCTTTCATTATTCTCTAAGTCCGAAACCTCGCGGAACATAATTACTTCCTCCTCGATAGGATCCTGCCACATCTCGTCTCTTCTACGGCTCCCCAAGCACGTTGGCTCGATCCCAATCTCCACGGCTCAAGACTCCTGCATATGTTGGGTCCACCGTTAATTAAAATGATAACTTCTTCGACACGCAATTGTAGAACATTCAAGTGTTCACACCACTTGGGAATGGCTCGCTTTGCAAAGAAAAGTTTTTCTATCCGCTCCTGTCTTGCGCATGCCCGGTGACATGCAGATGTGGGCTGCAGGCGACACAATTTCTCAGTGGTTAATTACGCCTAAATTAGCAGCCATGCTCAGGCGCCTTAGATCAAATGAGAGACTGAATGGATGCATGCAGGAGTAGCATGTCAGGACTTACGCGACGTTTACTTGAATGACCACTTCTGCTCGTGCCGAAATCGGCATAAAACAGTCATGACCGGGGTCAGCGAGTCGAATTAATTCACGAGTGTAGATTCCTTCATTTCCTTCCAACGATGATTTATATTCAGGATCGCCAGAACCAACTGTCTCCCTCTGATAGGCAGGATCCCAGCCTCTACTAAAGTAGATCCCTCTGAGCAACTGCTCCCTTCTTACGTTCTCCCTCCGCGCGTGTCGAGATGTTCCAAGTCCTCGTCCACATTTTCATCATCGATGAAATCCTGATTGGACGAAGTAGTTGTGGAAAATTGCGCATGTCTACGAAACAGATACGCGAAAATAAAGTAAGAAATAACCGTCCTCCGTCCCAGATACTCCATTGACAAGTCGCTTTATCGATATTCCCGTCGCCACTGTGCTCACGGCCTCTGGACCGATACTTGTGTCCAATCTTCAACGTTCAGACGTCGTGTGGACATGATATGCACACAGCCAAAGCCCTCTCAGGGCAATGGATCGAGCGATCTGCCACACTGAGTTGAAAGGCAGCGCGTCAACAGCGCGTACTAGTTAGGGAACAATCACTACTCTCCAATTTCTGGAAAGCCCATTACATGAAATCACAACCAAATGGGAAAGGAAAAGGAGTCTCATCCCATTCGCGATCATTTCCGTAGAGCGTGTGTTCAGGGATTAGAAATTAAGGTTCGTCTTGCCCCATTTCACATTCCGGGTCACCCCACCATTCTATCTTTCTACACGATGCATTGACAATAGAGAGGTCCGTGCCTACAGAGCCGACGGCGAGTGCTTGTATGATGACATCCATAATGTTAGATGGCCAAAAGGGGGGGGGGGGCGAAATGAAAGAAGCAGAATCACCTACGATCCCAAAGCTTGTCTCGAGTCCATCATCTTCAAAGACAAGATGCGAATGACTCCACTCAACACCGAACTGAGTCACTGTCATCACCTGAAAATACCACATGTTCGACGCGAGCACTTTTCTTCGTCAGCAGCTCCTTTGAACACGTCTATGGTACGCGCTGGTGGGGGAGCAAGGCACTCGTCGGTTGGACGGTCTCCACACCATGACTTAGAGTCTTGACAGCGAATGTGAACCGCAATGAACTAGGTAGAGAGTAGTTACGTGAAACCTAAGTTCCTTGAAGCGAACGACAGTTCATGTATTGTTGCGCCTCCTCCCGGCGAGCCAAGTAGCCTCCGGATGTACCTCCTAGCGGCTTCAAGTAATGGCTTGTTGAGGTGTTCATGTCGCGCCACGTTTCGTCATCCAGGACTCCAATCAAAACCTCCACAAACGCCAACCCTGCATAGAAAATGTAGGTCATACGGATGAGATGCTGTTATGGAAGCAATGCTAAGAAAACGAAGTTTGTGACGTTCATTCAAATGCCAAATGGACCGACCTCTCGTAAAAAGTTCATGATTTTAGTGCCTCGACGTGAATCATGCGATGCGCTTCTCATCCTCTAGCGCGCCTTGTGAACACGTAAGACCTAAAAACAACATTCCCATTAATCATCGCATTACCGAAGCCCAGATTACGCACTAGATAGAGATGTCCGGGGAAACCCCCGGGAGGCTTGAATGAGTCTGCGTGAGGTGATTGTATGAAAGGGATTTGATCGTTGCGGATCCACATCCAGCGAACTTACCGGTGGACGGGACATCCGTAAAGTTGCTTCATTTGCTTGGGCATGTCTTGTTTCCTGAATTTGCGCACAGGTAATTAGAAGAGTTGGAGATATCCATAACATGTTGACCAACAGCCCATGACGTCGACGTGCTCTGATTCCGGCGTCTTCGCCTCCGACTAGTTCAGTATAGGCCATTTCAGTGAGGTGGCACCGAGCGAAGTAACATTAGAGTTCGGCGTGATGAGAAAAGGATGATGATGGAATGATGAGGATTCGATCGGTCATCACGGCGAAGCGTATCAAGTTCGTCTTTTGGCAGCCATATGAGTGAGGAGCAGCGATTGGGTGGGAGGGTGGTGTGAAAGCGCACAGGGCCGTAAAATCGATGGCTAACGATCGTAAGATCATATTGTAACGCCACCGCAGGACTGGGTATAAATGTTTCACAACTCACTGGATCTAGCGATGCCCCCCTTCTGCAAGAGTCAATCACAGGAGTATTCAACCCGGCGTATCGTAATGGAATCTTCATCAGGCCTTCTGAGAAAAAAAAGAAAGGTGAGGCACACACACGCACCCGAGTCATGATTGCGGATGGACAGCGTTGGGTGAAGGAAAGCAGTAAGATTTTGTCTTAAAAATATTACTTGGCAAGGTGAAGATGAGACGTGGTATCTTTCTGGTTTAGGGTGTTTCAACGTCTAGGCAGGTTACCAGCCTCTATTGGCGTTGCGGCAGTTTTGAAGGCGGCAACCCAATATAGCAATGAATAGTATTCATGTGCCACTGCACCCGCGAGCATGCTAGATGTTTGTCAGAGTTTGGCACCACCGGGATTCCACATTTGACATTACCTCATTGCTCCGGATTCCCGTGATGACATCCGGATCCAGCTCGGCGAAACCCGTCAAGCCACACCCGAGCGATCGACTTCTCTGGATCTAGTTGTATTGCTAATTTCATCTCGACCTGGAACCATTGGAAATGGAATCAATGAGTCTAGTCAGGCGTCTCGCTGGTTAGTCTCCTCATCATGGATCATGATCGTAGCTCAAAACGAATCACTTTGCAAAACTGCAACCATCCACCATGCCATCATCTAATTTAAGAATCCCCCACGGGTTCAGCTGTGGGACTTTATTCGTCGTGCCATATCTATCACCGATTACTTAAGTCCGAGACCTCATTTGTTTCCCCCGGCCCCGGAAGGAGCCCGCTATGTCTAATCTCTTCGATGAGGACCAACAATCACCTTTTTTCGATCACAACCGCCACGATCCAAAACACCTCCGCATATCTTGTGTTCTTGATTACACTGCTGATTATTGCTTCGAGACGCAATTGTGGAGTATTCATGGTCAAGTATTCATACACTTCGGGAATGACTTGCGTTGCAAGGAAAAGTTCTCCCATCAGCTCCTAGCTTGTGCTCGTCCGCTAAAATGCAGATGTTGGCAGGCAACACAGTCTCTTGCTCGATGATTCATTATACTCCGAATCACGACTACGTTAGTAACTGTGCTAGGCGCCTCCGGTGGATTAAATGATGGGCTCTGGATGGCAATCATGAATCAGAGTGAATGGATGCAGGAATTGCAGTATACTATGTCAGAACTTACACGGCCAAGGCATGGGTTCACTTCCTTTCGTGTCGAGATCTGCACAGAACAGCACTGACCGACGTGAGCGAGTGAGCGAGTCGATGCATGAGTGTGCGAAAGTGTAGAGTTCTTCATTTTCCTCCCACGAGTTTGGGATCGCGTGGCTTGCAGTCCGTCCTCTGAGCGGCTCCTCCCTTCTCATGTCCTTTCTCCATGCTGAGTGCTGAGACGTTCCTGTTCCTTCTCATAGTTGTACATAATATGCATCTGTGACTCTCTAGAATTTTATCCACTTTTTCGTTACCTATGGAATTCTGAACGGCCATTCTCAGATGAAGTCCGGAAAAAATGTGATGATAGTAGATTGAAAGCGTGATTTCGTTTGGACTTTTGGTCGTTGAACTGATGCTCGCTTGACGTGCTCTGCAGTCCGACTTTGGAGTTGACACATCACGTTTTCGATAACAATATTCAAGTCACACACGCACGCAAAGACGTAGACTTTGTCTAAATAGTGATCCCTCCCTGTCAAATTGGTGTAGAATGCTACATCTTTTGCTGGGCAAGCCACCTTGTCGATGACAGTACTATCTTGAGGGAGAAGCGTGACAACAGAAGATGAGGCTTGCGGCAGTCTCAGCGTCGCGGTAAGCAAAAGAATGCAGCAAAAACAACCCCTGCGGCGACGACGGCATGCATGTGTCTCTTCACAGTTGACATGAGGGACAAGAGTGGAAGAAGGGAAGGATCCACCAACAGATGCCTTCCTTTCAAGGCACCTTCCCTTATTCGAAATGCGCTCGGGCGGAGATGAGGGAGATGGTTTCTGATGCAGTGAAAACGAAATTGAGAGAACGCAAGGAAGAAATGCCAAGCTCGCCGAGTTTGATTCACAGGGGTGGCCGCGCGCGGTTTGGAACTGGAGGGCAGGAATGTCAATATTATTCCCAACGCTGGCGGTACAAGATTCCGATACGTCTATACCAAACCTAATGATGTATACCTAATCCAAGCCAATTGATCGAGTGTGACAAATGAATAACCCATTGTGTACGAGTTCAAAGTGGATTCGACACGTACCCAAGGTCGTACAATGAGCAATATGATACTGAAGGAACGCCCAAACATCATGATACCAATTGATGATAGGATGAGGCGCTGGCCAACCTAGATCCGTGGGAGTCACGAAACTCAGCTCAGCTGGGAATGCGTTCGCCAAAAATAACATGGATGGGCGGTTGGTCATGCCAAAAGTGCGAGTTATCACGAAAAGATAGGAACGCGAAGGCGGAGGCAAAGCCAACGAGAGCGAAAAAGGGACTTGATTTTAGAAACAATTTTTTTGCTAATTAAGATCGCCACTTACCTCCATGAGGATCATCCCGTCTCGTTCCGATAAACATGGCTTTTACACCTTTCGAGGCCGTGTGCACAGTGGCGACGGGAATATCGATAAAGCGACTTGTCAATGGAGTATCTGGGACGAAGGAGGACGGTCATTTCTTACTTTATTTTCGGGTTTTTATTTCGCAGAACACGCGATATATCAACTCCAAAGCCGGACTGCGAAGGGGTTTAAGTTCGTCAAGTTCAATCAAAGTCCAATGAGATCGATTACGCTTTCGATCTACTACCATCACATGCACAATTTTCCACAACTACTTCGTCCGATCAGGATTTCATCGATGATGAAAAGGTGGACGAGGACTCGGAACATCTCGACACGCGCGGAGGGAGAACGTAAGAAGGGAGCAGTTGCTCAGAGGGATCTACTTTAGTAGAGGCTGGGATCCTGCCTATCAGAGGGAGACAGTTGGTTCTGGCGATCCTGAAGGTAATATAATATAAATCATCGTTGGAGGGATCTACCCTTTTGCACACTCGTGAATTAATTCGATTCGCTGACCCTGGTCATGGCTGTTTTATGCAGATTCCGGCACGAGAAGAAGTGGTCATTCAAGTGAACGTCGCGTAAGTCCTGACATGGTACTCCTGCATGCATCCGTTCAGTCTCTGATTCATCAGAGCCTATCATTTGATCCAAGGCGCCTGAGCATGGCTGCTAATTTAGGCCTAATTAACTACTGAGAAATTGTGCAGCCTGCGGCCCACATCTGCATGTCACCGGACATGCGCAAGACAGGAGCGGATTGGAAAACTTTTCTTTGCAATGCAAGCCATTCCCAAGTGGTGTGAACACTCGAATGTTCTACAATTGCGCGTCGAAGAAATTTTAATCAACGGTGGACCAACATATGCAGGAGTTGTTTTGAGCCGTGGTGATTGGGATCGAGCCGACATACCTGGGGATCTCCGTGGAAGAGACGAGATGCGGCAGGATCCTATCGAGGAGGAAGTGATTATGTTCCGCGAGGTTTCGGACTTGGAAAATAATGAAAGAAGCTTTGAGGGTGATAGATATTGACGTAACATGTCATACAATAGAGCGTTTTGGGATGGGGGGGCTTTGACGGGTTTCACCGAGCTGGATCACCGGGAATCCGGAGCAGGTGTGTTACCCAATCCCTCCTATTCTGCCTCGTGTTAACCTCACGCCACGACTAGCGACTAGGCCATCCAGTTCTCTGTCCACAAATATATTTATCCTGTCTGAACCTGCCGCCCTGACAATCCTTGGCGGGACAGAATCACCTGTTGCACCCAATGCGGTGAATGATTCCGGGTTCTCTGGTTGATCGAGTATGTTTCTGCACATCACGAGGAAGACTGGTGGGGATATGACATGATGAAGCGAAGTTCGATCTCGTGGGCTTGTGTTTGAACTTGGGGAAGATTGTGAATATGCTTCGTGATTCACATGACGCACTGGAGGCTTGCGTAGGATTGATGCCAACAATTGTCGTATGGGTGCTACAGATGTTCGCATCTTGTGTCTTCCGAGACAATGCGGTGCATGGGCGATGCAGGAATGTGATAGTCAAGACTCATGCGCATAAACATAGGGGAATTAGGAATGATAGCGTGATGACTACGTCCGTACAGCGCCCAAAGCATGAAAATGGACTGAGTCTGCAGTCCCAAGGCCACATCAAACACACACAATGGTGGGTGAGTAGTACGTAGCAAACGACTGATAGAAACAGATTCTTCAGTGAAACGCAGGGGTGTGGCATGGTGGCGGCTTTTCATGAGCTGGCGAGGCTGCAGAGTGATCACGTCAAATCCAGAGTGAATGATATTAGATGAATGGCAGCTGCTGGCACAAGGGTCTGAGCCTTTCGTCATTTACAAGGGGTGCCTCGAAATGGCGTCCGATATTATCGAGCGAGACCGGAGTGCTCGAGCCAAATCTGGCATGCATGATGTATGATAGACAGCAACTAGCTCATGGCAGAGTTTGACACTTTCTTCATCCATGAGGAGCACCTCAGAATGTCGTCCAGGGTTGGTGAGTGACACATCTAGACTCTCGAGTGCCTGAGCCAATCTGGGGCATACGATGTCGGATGAATAGCAGCTAAGGTTTGACACTTTCTTTGATCACCGCGAGCGCCTCGGAATGCCGTCCGAGATTGTGAAATGATACAAAAAGAAACCCAAGTGCTCGAGCCAAATCTGGGGCGGATGGACGGCAACTAGTTCATACCAGAGTCTCACACTTTCCTCGATCATCACGAGCGTCCCGGAATGCCATCCAAGTTTGTCAAGTGATGCAAAAAGATTCCCAAGCGTTCGAGCCAAACTTGGGGTGTACCGTGTCAGGTGGACGGCAACTAGCTTGCGCCAGAGCTTAACACTTTATTCAATCGCTGGAAGCGCCTTGGAATGCTGTCCGAGTTTTTCAAGGGACGCAAAAAGATTCCAGCCAAATCCGGGTGTGTGAGATTGGACAGATAGCAAGTAGCTTGCGCCAGAGTTTTACAATTTCCTCGATCGCTGCGAGCGCCCTGGAATGCCACCCGAGATTGTTGAGTGGTACCGGGAGGGATTCGAGCCCCCGAGCCAAATTGAGGGCGTATGAGGACATTGAGTCCTCGACGGCACAACGCAACCGAATCATTTGCCAACTCATATGCCTCCTGAAATCTTGAAAAGAACCAAGATCTCCGCTCACGTTGCTAAACACTTCGACCAACATGCGAATAACACCTTTGGAGGTCCGATCAACGCTCAATTAAAGGAACATGGATCTGAATAAGGAACGCCACTCATGATTCGTACCTTGGCCCATTCAGGGAACAATGATATGCTGATGTACCCTTCCATCCTCACACAGACTTCCACCCTGTGTACTATTTGCACATTGAGAAATATGTCAACAGGCCTATTGGGTGCCTCCAGTGGCTTCTGAGATGATAGATGAGGTGGCGACACACGTAATGGACCTGTTCGGGTAGCGTCTCATGAGGAATGGGCAACTGTTTGAAGTGTAGGAAGAAGCCCTCAGTCAGCCCTAAATCCTTCACCATGAAAAGCTCTTCATTCAAGATTTCGATGCAGCGCAGAGTCACTCTGGCGTTCTCCCTCCGAGCATCCACTACAAACCGATGAAGGGTGGGTTGTGGACCAATTTGGTCCATGAGAAAGTTGCGAAAAGATTGATGCACAATTTGTCTGCGGACGGACGATTTCAAGAGCGGTGATAGAATGACATCCCATGCCGCAACAGATAGTGGCCATTGTACGATTAGGATTGCTCCCATCACAATCAGGTAGTCATGCACAAAATCGTTGTATTCCCAATCGCACTTCTCTAAGATCCTCGTATATAGCGCACCCATCATTTCCTCAGCAGAGACCTTCGATCGGTCGATGCTGGGATTGAAAAGGTTCTTTAGCGTTCTGGCAGGATCGCTGCTGGCAACTTTCACGTAGCGAAAGACGTTACTGATCCAAATGAACAAGTCACGCTCCAATATGCAATTTATCCTCGTCCTCGATTTGACCTTCCAACCTAGGATGTGCATCCTTCAGTTCGCGTAGTTGTGAACGGATGTAGATAGCGTAGTTATGGACATTAGCATGGTCGATAGTGAGGCGATCAATAGGGTGATTGGGTGATAGGAATTGGTCAACGAGGTCGAACTGTCTCAAAGTGACAAAGAGGTTTGATGTTAGGCGGTACATTTCGAAGTATAGCAAGACGTGGGAAAGCTTCTGTGTCGCATTCATCTAACACATCAATGATGACCATCGGAGGATGACCAGACGATGACGGAGAGGTCCAGCCACTAGTTTCTGGGAATTGCTTCGTGAACGGGGGCAGTCGAGATATATTGGCTTGTGCGTTGCTAGAGATCAAGCCCGCTAAAACAGATGACCCGGCCGCGACTGCTTGCCCGCTCTGAAAAAGAAGTTTAACGATAATATCCTTTTTCTTTCACACTCCTCTGCAATTGAGAGTCCAATAGATGTCTTGTCAACACCGGCCACGGCGTTCTGCAGTGATACGCGATTCCCGCTACCCACCGTGTTACGACACCAGGCCAGATCGGATCAGTCCTAGTGCCTTTCAGACATGCCTGAGTTGAATCGTGATGGGCGACAATGGGATACCTGAATCCATTCGGAACAGAAGAATTCACTACTCCATGAATTAACTGATTTTGATTGTTTGTTATTCCGCGGCTACATGGTTACGATAATGAGATCAGAGCAGCAACATGACCGACGAGGATCAAACATGAATACCTTGAAGGATGCCAAGGCCACGCTAAAATCTTTCCTTGAATCATCGATCCTGCTGGGGTTCTTCGTGTGGGGGAGGGGGGTTGTGGGTGCCTGACTGTCTTTCCATCTTTCTGCACAATCGATCGATTTCGATTTGAATACGCTGCTGCGCACCACAAAGTACCTATGTTATACGACGGCAATGACTTGAATAAGAGCAGTGACTACTTACTCGCTTAGCTTCGTGACATTTTCCATCCACGGCTTAACCGCTTCGTTAGACGCATCGTAAACTTCTATATAATGCATATTATTAACTTCCGCTCCTGGCTCGGTATAAATTATTACTAACATTGATCTCACTGAGGATCAGGAGTGTGGCACCAGCGGCAAATCGTAAAGGAGCCCCGATGGCAGCATTAACGGCGGTGAGAACTGAAATTGCAACATCACCTCCTGCGGCGAGGTGACCAATGACCCTCTGCTTCAGTGACACAACCAATGACAGGCAGATGGAAGGATGGGGCGGAAAGGTTTGATGCGAAACAGGTGATATCACTCGAGTAGATGCTGCACAAGTTCACGGTGAGTGCAATTCATCCCTTTGGAAGTCCCGTGGCGGTTGACTGGAGGAACCACTACCTTCCTATTATGGAAGAACATCGGCCTCAAAATCTGAGGCCAAAAATAATAGGAGGGCTAAAGCGGGAGCTCAGTCTCCGTAAATGAAGAACTGAATTACTACGTTTAGTACTAACCTAAAGCGGGAGCTATAGTACAGAAGAGTACAGAGTAAGTAATGTAACAACTAACTAAAAGCAATGATACTAACCTCAGTCTCCGTAAATGAAGAACTGAGGAGAAAGGGAAAGTAGAGCGAAAACAGTATATACAATTATATACATTGTATCACGAGGCAAATACGGATGTAAGAGGGATCATGTGGTGTTGGTTGGTAAGTCACGGGTCGTTGTTACTCCAACAAAAAAGTCCCCTGAAAGCGACCCAGTAGCCCCCTACAAGGCTATTATGCCAATGGGCACTGGTCCAAGAAGGGGCTAGGAGTTGGGTACCTATAGTCTGGGACTAACTTGATGGGTTCACTATGCAGATTTTTATTGAATTGTTGTGAAGGTTCGTAAAGGGTCTCTCGTATCCATTTCCCAGTTTGTTATCCAATACAAAAGATCATGTGTCAGGACATCTCGGGTTCTCATTTCTCCTCATGCCGAAAATTTGCCATATGAGTGCTTTGATCCTCCATGATGCATCATCTCTCAAGCATAATGAGTATGACAAGAAGCTTGATGAGCTCCGTCAGAGTTTGAGACAATTTGAGACTTGCTCCGAAGAATGGATGGGTGCAATATTGGCGGAATGGCTGGGAATTAAGGAGCCCCGACCATGGCAAATTTCACATTCCCTTGACCTATTCAAAGGACAGGAAGTGTTCCTTACATCTAGGACTGGAAGCGGGAAGTCAATCCTCACCCTAGCACCGGTTATTGCCCGCGAAGTTGCAGGAAAGGATCACATTGCCATTGTCATCTACCCAACCGAGTCACTAATAATTGACCAAGTCAGTATCTGTCTTCAATATCATGCCGCACTTATGGACCAAATAGAACTCTAGGAGTTCAAGGCACGTCAGAAGGGTGTCCGCTTCATCGGAGTGAGTGCAAGCATCCTAGCCTCAATGGCTGCCAGAGAAGGATGGGATCTGTGGAGGGAAATTAGCAACGGAATATGGGATGTGATTGGGATGGGCCCAGAGATGCTTCAGAGCCCACCAGTGGCCAAACTATTCCACAATGAATGTTTCATACAGAAGCTCGGGTTTGTCTTCATAGATGAAGTCCACCTTGTACTTCAATGGGGATTGTCATTCCGAAAGGACTACTTGAAACTATGTGAACTGCGCGTGCGATTACCCACATGCATCACTTTCCTTGTGATGTCAGCTTCACTTCATGAGGACTCCCACACCAAAGTCCAGGGGATCCTAGCGTTCAAGAAGAATCAGTTCCATAACATTAAACTACCGATTGACCGCCCTGACTTGAAA